ATTCTAAGTCTATAAAATCTCAATTATATATAACCTTATGTATACACTCAGTAATTATAACCTTACCAGTAGAAATCTTTTAGTTTTCACACAAGTTATTTATAGTACCTAAAATACTCCTATAGTATTTTATGTTTGATTCTAGAATTCATTTGTGTATAGGGTTGGTAAGTTTTAGACTTGCTACAACACCACTATCACTCCCAAACACATGTTGTTTATATCTCAAATAAATATAGTTGATCATGCTATATTGATCCCAGATATGATTACATAACTGTCCAGGTTTGACTGTATGTCCAGCATCCAAATACTTTGTTTTGTCTCTTGTTCTACATCTATATTATATATATATAATTATATATATATATATATATATAGATATATATATATATATATATATATATTTATATATTGTTATATTTTAAAGTATAATTCTTGGTCAGAGTGTTTTAGTCCCATTGTATTTATAGTTGTATATCTTTTATAGGTTGAAATACTTAGTTCACTATAAACAATGCTGTGATACCAATCTGTCACACCTCCAAACCGGAACGGCGGAAACGTTGGGGGTGGGGGACGTCATGTTAAGTATCACAAAACATGCATCATAGTAATCAAAGTAACAACAACCATCGTATTGATAATATAATATTTACATTATGTTCAAAACATTACTTGAAATACATAAAAAGTACAACAAAAGATAAGACGTAAAGCTCTGTCTTCGCAACACTTGGGAGAGAGTACCTGTCTACTAACGACCCTGAGAATACAAGTGGTTTAAAAAAAAATGTCAACATTAAAGTTGTTGAGTTCATAAATATTTTTGTTATAGAAAGTATATCCTTTATTCTTTTGAAAAGTTCGCCCGTTCCTCCAGAAAATCCTATATTTTTTGCTGTTAAATGATAAGTAAAACAATTCATGATTTTTCCTTCTATGAGTACTTAGTGAATACAAGTCATATACATTTAGTTCAAACAGATAGTCGACTGTGTGGTTCTGCCCCAAGCCCACAACCAAACAAGGAACAGGAAAAAGAGCGGATTCCACACTCCACTATCTGTTGGATCCTCATGTATCTAACCTGACGTATTCACTAAGTACATTCAACATTAATTTAATGATCCTTTAATTGAAAACGTCCCTTAAGAAAATCCTATATTTTCTTATTAAGTAAAATGACTGAAGTTAATCCTTATGTAATCATTCGGTGAATACTAATTATATATAATACAAATCAATTAGACAGTTGAATGTGTGAATCTGCTCTAAGCCCACAACCAAACAAGGAACAGGAAATGAGGCGGAAGTCACACATTCCACTATCTACCAGATCTTTATTATATATAATCCTAATACATTCATCAAGTAATTACATAATTAACATTAACGAATCTCTGGTAAAATGGTAACCACAATATTTCCTTCTATAATCACTTAGTTTATACTAACTATATATAACCTAATATCGAACGGACAATTGATTGTGCGAATCTGCCCTAAGCCCACAACCAAACACGAAACAGGAAATGAGGCGGAAGTCACATATTCCACTGCCTATCGGATATTATTTATATATAGTTTGAATATATAAACTAAGGAATTATAGAATTAACCATAACGGTCCTTTATATAATACTAGTTTAATAATACTATTAAACCCTTGTAAATAAGTTTATCTTCCAAAATAACGATGTAAACCATAGAAAATCCTATATTTTCTATAAAACCGTTTTGTAGTCTTAAACACTCCAAGACCGAGAAGCACAAGTATAATTACCATACTTAGCTTAATGATACCCAATTTTGTTTATCAGTAATCCTATCTGAACATGTAATTACCCTGAAAGCTCGACGTGACGATACTACCCTCCTATGATCACTTAGTACACACGAGTTGTATAATACCGATGTCGAATAGACAGTTGAATGGGTGAATCTGCCCTAAGCCCACAACCAAACAAGGAACAGGAAATGAGGCGGAAGTCACACATTCCACTGTCTATCGGACTTCAATTTTATCTAACCCTATTGTATATACTGAGTAATCATATAGTTAGTATCCTTGGGAAAGTTTAGGAAAAGTATATATTTATGTAAATAATTAGTTAATACTATTGTGAATATTCATTATAACCATACTAATACAAAGTTAGCCCCGTATAGATCTATACACCAACTCGCGCTCTCCCTTATGAAGACTTTGGTTATAATTAAGATTCGAACGGGTACCCTAAGTGGTACATCTAGCGGTTCACAATCCTATATTAATTATTTACATAAAATGTAAAACCTTTATATAATTAACAATAATTTTGTAAAAAGATTTCCTTTTATTTCATAAACCATGTTTATAAGTTCATTTCCATGTTTTAACCTGGATTTTTGTAAAATAGTTCCTATGATCCATAAACCATACCTATTATAGTTTATAAATTGATTTCTATGATTTTAACAAGTTTCAAGTTTAAATACATTTAAACAGTAAGAAAACATAATAAGTAAATTATGTTTTTAAACACAAGCAATCTTGTGTTTTACTTGTATTCCCCCCCCCCTCTTAAAACATTAAAAAACATGTGAAATATGGGGTATGAACTCACCTTATTTAAAGGATTCAATAGAAGATTTGGTATAGATTGGTAAATTTCCCGAGTGAAATCCCGAAGCACAAACGAGTCCTATTTAGTATATTATGACACATATATGTATATAGTTAGTGAAGATAACTACAAAGGTGTTTAGGAAACAACCTAGGATACTAGAATAACTCACCAAAAGAGTGTTACAAACAAGTTAGGAGGCTGAAATTGTGTTCACGGCCACCTGGAGGTGTTCACGGCCCAAGAACAGCTTGTGTTGTTCACGACCAGCTGTTCTTGAAGGATGATGAAGATTCAAGTGTTTTAGGCTGGAGATTTGTGTGTGTTCTTGGTGTTCTTGAAGGAATGAAGAATAACTTGAAGATCTAAACAATAATCTAAGAAGATTTGAAGGTTTGGAAGATGATACTTGAGAGAGATTTGAGAGGATCATGGCTGGAAGATGAGAAATGTGGTGAACCTGGTTAACACTCAAATATATATGCGAGGGTTCACTGCCAAGGGGTTCACGGTCCGAAGTCGGAAAATGGTTCACAGTTGTGAACCTCGTACACGGCCCGAAGGCGGTGAAGTGTTCACGGCTCCGAAGTTCACAGACCCGAAGCTGTTCACGGTCGTGAAGCTGTTCACAGCCGCGAAGGGTTTGCAGCCATGCGAAGGTTCTAGATTCCTAAGGCTTTTTCCTTTCTAACTATAACACACTTAGATACAAGGCTTCAAAACTTGTAAATCAATAATCCATCTAATTTAAGATAATGGAAGGAATAAGTTTGACTAAAGTTGACTTTACGAGAATAAAATTTTCGGGTTGTCACAGTTACCTTATTACCAAGAACAAACCTTCACGAAAATTAAAGTTCATAAAACCTACCAAAACAAGTTCTCAAAACCGTAAGTAAATGAAATCTCAACAACATGTCCAAAGTGGTATCATCGCTAAAATATACTACTGTAACTACCCCAAAAAGTCCCCATCCTCTCCACGCATCATATCACACTACATGTTCCAATGCAAGGCAAATAACAAGCAAAGAAAAAAGTGTCAGCATAAGCTAAGTGAGTCAATCATAGTACAATGTTATGGAATACACATATCCCTAATAGGTCAGACAAGACATTATATAAAAATGCATTCAAATACTCACATGCAACGCATAACAACATTACCACATATAAAACACTGTTTAGCTCAATTAATTTTATTCATCTTTTAGAGCTTTTATTAGTTACTCTCATCAACCACGCTGTAACTAATTTTTTATCTTTTAACCACTAAATATTAGTAGTTACTATTTATCTTTGCTTTATTTTAATAATTACTCACCGCTTATCATCGCTGTAGTTATTATAGTAATACTTCATAGTTAAGGTCTATTTATTCACTGCAAACCCCAAGGTAAGTACCATATTCACTACTAACATGACTGACATGACCCAATGTACTAAGTGAGGCACGAATCTCACCTGTAACATTGCTCCCGGTTCACTGCGTTCGCTACCCTGACGTTGCATATACGAGTACACGTGTTGCCGTTAAGGTTCGATTCAAGCGGTGCCAATTTCACCGCGTTACACCTCCCGAATCCCACATGATGTTTGCGCCGACTTTCCTTGTAGATCCAACATCACTCTAGTTCACCTATCTTTAGCATATCACGTGTCAAACTAGTCGTCTAGAATAATCAGCCGACTGGATTTCATCATAGAGCTAACATTAACCAACTTTCCTCGTAGAGTCAACCCTAACCGGATATCCTCATTGAGCCGGTACTACTTGGCTATCCTCATTGAGCCAACACCTATTGACTTTCCTCATAGAGCCAACCCTAGTTGGCTTCCCCATGGAGCCAACCCTAACTGGCTTTCCTCGTCACGCCAACATTACCCTTCACCCTACTAGTGTATTCTGCTTTTAATTAGTTTATTATTAATTCATCTTTTAAGGATTTACACATTTGACCTTCCTAAGTAATCATGCATATTTAACATCTTTTTCTATCATATTACTTCTCATGTAAACATGCAAACAAGTAAATACAAGTTAAAACATTTTACATCACATATCATCTTTATAGATACCACCACACTAGCATGCTTTTTCCTAAATCATCAAAGAAAAATATTTCCAAGAAATCATAGCACGCACACGTCACAAAAATCAACAGAAGGAACTCTTTCCATCAGGGCCCTAACACACATCTCACATCACAAAGAATAAGAATCTAACATATAAGCATCCTAAATTCTCATACACATAAGGAACCATAAAAATCAATATCATATCATTGAAAATAGGGATACATGCAACCTAAACAACCTAGGTATATACCAATCCATCTAGGATGTGGAATTCCCTAACAAAGTACTTAAAACCACAAAAGATTAACTCACCTTTGTCAAAAACGTGTCCTCTCTACACATCAACTCTTGTAGGAACTGGGGTATCAAACCTTTCCCTATTAAAAACAAATAAATTGATTACTAGAAGTTTACAAGAACATAGAATAACAATTTACTACCCAAAACATGCAAATTAGTTATTAAGCCAAATTCTCAGATTTTGACCTGAAACAACAACCTGTTCAAGGTCACTTTAGCACCACTTAAACCTGTAGAATTTACAATTTTTCTTCATATTTCAGTATTCTAGACTTTTATATTTTTAGAAAGTTCTCTCACAAATCCATACGATTTTTCTAGAATTTTCTATGAATTTTACAAATATGCATATCCGTGCAACTAATTTCTGACCAGTCAGTGAAAAAGACGGTTTTCACATTGGTTAAAGACCACATCAAGTCTTGGGAAAAATCATGGACAAACTAGACTTAATATTAAAACTTTAAGAGCTTACGAATCCCCAATCTGACACCTGATGATTTTTTTCTAGATTTTTTTTGTCAAAACAGGGACAAAATGGGAATTTTTCTGAATTTCACACCTTTGAGTTTTAAGGGTTAATTGACAACTTAACCCATCAAGCCATATCCAAAATCAACTATAAAGACGGAAATTGAGTTCTTATCAGTAGCAACATGTCAAGAAGTTAAAATAACAATTTCATTTTCAAACCATGACTCCAAGTACGTTGCTTAAGGGAAAAACAAAAGTATGATGTTGAAAGAGAAAACAACGTTAAGGGATTGAGTTTCCTACACCATTAAGCCACGTATAAAGAGCTTTAGGGATTGCTTTGAACGCCTTTTGGATGGTCAAAAACATGTGCTTTATTCAGAAAAATACTCACTAGAATTAAGATAGAAACCAATATGAATTCTAGCAACAACCAAGAAGTTATGGACCGGATTATTAACACATTTGGGAGTGTTCTTGAACATATTTTTCCAGCCAACAAAACAACCAATACACAACCAAATATTGCTTGAGTTAAAGCACATGAGACCTCAAATATTTTAAGGAGAAGTAACATGAACCATAACACCAAAGCAAGCAATTAGACTCCACAATTGCAACTAACTCTTGAGCACCAATTCCAACACTTGAAAGAGTGTTTTTAGAAGAATATCGGAAGCAAGAACAAGAAAAGAGTACACCTAATGTGGCTGGAATTCAGCCATACAAGAATTCACAATAATTGATATAAGAAAGAACAAGATTAATCGACAAATCAGAAGCAATTCGACTTCATAATTCCTTCTAAAACACTAGTAATTGAAGTGTAATCATATGATGATGAAGAAAAAAGACTTACCAAGTGTATTGGTCGATTCTACAACCTTCAATTTCGTCCCCTATGAAGTCGATAACCACAACCACAATCACGTCTTTTTCCCTTTACAGCCTTGCGTCGCCAATACCCGCTCACCCTAGAACACTGTTTCCTTTTTTTTTTTTTTTTTCTTCCAGTCGACATCCACACAAGTGGCCACAATCCACGATCGATTGCTAGAGTTCCTTTGATCGCACGCACACTGCCTCCCTCACCCAAAACTCCTTATTATTATTATTTTTTTCCTTTTTTTCTGTCGATCGATGTAGCTATAACGAGACAACCAAGGATCAATTTGAGTTGGTTTATAAGAGCGGGCGTAATGGCCAAAAATAATGGAAGGAAATTTGATCGATCAGAGTCCCTACATTACTGTTACATTCCGAACATTACGAATAAACCCCCCTCACTATCCAAACTTGCATCCCATTTTTCCTTAACCCTAGTTATTTGGAAAATTAAGTTACTTTATATGAAATATCAACCCCTAAAATTTTTTTTTTAAACCTTTTTATGAATTATATTTACTTTAACTTCCCACGAAATCATTTATTTAAATTATATACCCCTCAAATATCAATTAGTTCTTTTAGCTATTAAACAACATCATTTTTATTTAATTTATTCTATTTTAACCTCATAACCTAAAATCTTTCGCATAAACATTCCTTTGGGTAACGAAAAGCTAATGACATTAACATAAGGATTTTCAGGTCGTTACAATTCTCCCCTCTTTAAAATGATTCCATCCTCAGAACTAGATAATGGTACGAGAAACTTAGGGTAACGAACCTTCATATATTTTTCGACTACCTAGGTCACTTCTGAACCGCACCCGTCCTACCATCGGAACTTAACAAGCTTGAATTGTTTCATCCCCGCTGCTTGATCTCTCTGACCAAGACATCTACCAGCTCTTCCATCTTGTGCATCAACTAGTCGACTTATATCCTATCTATCAGTAAGACACTCGACTCTTAACTTGTCTCTGTTGTCAAAACAAATAATTTTCATGCAATGAGAGTCTTTCAGTATCACCCTTCGATGGTCTTCAATCGAAACTCCTTGACCAATTCCAAATAAAGATAGCCACTGATTATGTCACACCCCCAAACCAGAACGGTGGAAACGTTCGGGGCGGAGGTCGTCATGTCAAGTATCACAACACATGCATTTATAGTAATCAAAGTACAACAACCATTGCATTAATAATGTATAAGTTTTACATAAGTGTTTAAACATTACATATTCAAACATCAAAAGAAGATATAGTAAAAGACAAAAGACACAGCACGACACTAGGCTGTCTTCTCAAAAGCTTCGGGAGTGTACCTGTCTACTGGATTCCTGAGAATACAAGTTATTTTGAAAGAGAGGATCATCATTTAAGCTGGTGAGTTCATAAGTATTTTTGTTATATAAAGTATACTCTAAGTTCTTTAGAAAAGTTCGCCTGTTCCTCCAGAAAATCCTATATTTTCTGCTTGACAACTGATAAGTAGTTTTAATCCCCTAAAACCGTTATGTTTAAGTATTATTGTACTTATAATAAGGTTTAACATAATTTTGACTATCCATAAAATTAAAAGGAGAATGTTTTCCGTTTTGTTGGTGAAAAGTAGTTTTAATCCCATAAAACCGTTCTGTGAAGTAGTTCTAAATCCCATAAAACCGTTCTGTTTTGCTTGTGGAGATAGATTAATACAGTAGTATTTCTTAAAAATAAACTACCGGTGAATAACTACCCTATTATTAAGCTGGTTAATTAGGGTTAAAATGTGATAAAGTTGTAACCATGCTGATAGACTAGAATAAACACGACGACCTTCCGGCGTCGAAACTGAATATGTGACATTTGTCACCCTTTGGCCTGCCGGCCAAACTGTAGCTAACAGTCGGGATGTGGGATTGTCGGTCCCGTATAGATCTATACACACAATGCCCGCTCTCCCTCCAGGAGACTCTAGTTACAAGAATGTAACATAGCAAGTATATTGCTATATCCTGAATACGTACCATCACATTTTAGTTTGAGTAAATATCGAATTATACCCTTTTCTTGACAAAGTAGTTTAGACCTCGTATACTTATCTAGAAGATAGATTTCTCGTTTGATTCATCAATTATACCTATTATAATTTATACGTTCTATCTGACTAGCATGATCTCTCATGAGTGTACCCCTTTGCTCAGCGTGATACAAAGGTAATGCTACCGACTGAAGTAACCTTTTATATTCATATATGTATAATATATATAATTAAGAAGGAAACGACCTTCGGAGAAATAACACCACCTTAAGCCCACATCCAAACAAGGAAAAGGAAATAAGGCAATCCATTAGTCCTAAGCCCTTTAAGTCTTATTTATATACCTATATATATATATATATATATATATATATATATATATATATATATATATATATATATATATATATAAACATGATTTTGACAATTATAAGTTTAAAGAGTTATAAAAATATTTAAAAGAGTTTAACGGTATTCTAAAGAGTTTATGTGACTTTTAAAAGAGTTAACATGACTATAAGTTATTATGGAAGTATTTAGTAAACCTTTATTGTAAAAATAACAATTAAAAGCATAAGAAATTTTTTTATGTGATTGATATCACATGTAATTATTAACACAATTAGCTTGTGTTCAACTTGTATCCCCCCCCCCCCCTAAAAAGCATTTAAAATCATTTAAAAGGTAGATTATAGGGGTATGCACTCACCTTATGTGAGTGATTCGATTGAAGATTGGGATAAGAGTGTTACTCCTACGAGTGAAGTTCCGGAGCACAAATGAGTCCTAAATAGCATATAATGATACATATAGGCATGATATTTAGTGATTATAACCACAAAGGTGTGAGGGAATCAACTTAGGATTCAAGAACAACTCACCAAAGGAGGGTTGGAAGCAAGTTAGGAGGTTAAATGAGGGTTCATAGCCCTAAGGATTTATCAGAGCCCAAGAACACATGAAGTGTTCACGGCCCCCTTGAATGTTCACGGCCCAACGTGAATGGTTCACGGCCCAATGATGAATGTTTGAAGGGTTTACAGCCAGAACCTTGAAGATCTTGAAGTTCTAGATGAGAAGATGATGAATCAAAATGAAAGGAAGTGGGCTTTCAAGTAACAACAAGAAGAGGGGTGAGTTACTTATGTTTTTGAGGTGAAAGAAGACCCTTTTGTGGATGATACTTGAGAGCAAACTTGGATGATCACGGCTGGAGGATAAGAAATGAAGAGAAAATGAGCCAAAACTCATATATATGGCATGAGTTCACGACCCTAGGATGGGTTCACGGCCGTGAACCTAGTTTGCGGTCGTGAACCACTTTTGAAGGTGTTCCTAGCTCGATTGCAACTCACTGATCTCAAGCTAACACTTCCTAACACTCAAACCTTGAATGTACTAGGCTTAGAAACTCTCAAACAGACCCTTAACACAGTAAAAAGGTAACAGAAACAAGTCTGACTTTTGATTGATTAGATTGACTTACAAGATAGAGATTTTCGGGTTGTCACATCATCCCCCCGTTAGAGGGAATTTCGTCCCGAAATTAAGTCTAAAGGATACACATGGACGAAGGTGAAAGGTACGGATACTCCTGATCCATTTGCTCCTCCCGTTCTTAAGTGAAACCAGGTCCTCTCTATGCATTTTAGCGGACCTTCACTATCGGGGTACGATTTCGTTTTTCGTTCTCTGGACTTCACTGTCTATGATTTCTACGGATTCTTCCACAAGTTGAGGCTCTCGTTTACCTTGATCTAATCGAGTGGGATAATAAGAGTCCTGTGGGACAAAAACACCTTTTTAAGTTAAAGACGTGGAAGGTAGGGTGTAATTTATTGAAGTCTCTAGGTAATCGGGGCCTGTAAGCTATTGGACCAAATTTTATCAAGAATCTCGAATGGTCCAATGTACCTTGGATTTAGTATTCCATGCTTTCTGAAACACATCATTCCTTTCCCGGGTGAGACCTTCACATGATGAGGTCACCAACCTGGAATTCCAAGGGTTTTCTCTTATCGATGGCGTTGCTTTTCTGTCTGACCCTGGGAGCTTCACGTCGCTCCTAGATTTGTACTCTGCTCGGTAGTTTCTCGTATGATTTCCGAACCAACAAAGGTGCTATCTGGAAATTGGTCTCTTGCTAGTTGCGTGTCACCTACTTTATTCCAGTGCAGAAAGGGTCTGCACTTGTGACCATAGAAGGTTTCGAATGGAGTAACTTTAGATGCTAGTATGGTAAAAGACCCGACTAGTTGATAAATGGGTATCCATGCTCTACCAAAGTCGATCACATATGCTCTTAGCATGACTTCTAATGCTTGAATCTTTCTCTCATTATGTCTGATGGTTTAAGGATGGTAGGCCATGCATCATGACTAGCCTAGTTCTCAAAGATTTTTGAAGTGACTGCCTGAACTGAGAGATGATTCTACTATCTCTAACGGAGATAACAGATATTGGAACACCGTGCAGTCTAACTAATCTCTCAGACACGTGTTTTAGTTAACTTCTCTATTTTGCTTGTTTCTTTAAAATTGTAGGAAGTGCGCGGACTTGGCTAATATGCCGACGATCACCCAAAATGACATTAAGTCCACCTGTTGCCTTGGGTAATTTGATTATGAAGCCCATTGTAATCCGCTACCACTTCCACTAATGTATCTGCAATTGTTGTAGTAAGCCTGCAGGCTTTTGCTCCGAAGTTCATGATAAGACTCATACTTGGCTCATCGACCATCACCTCGTGTATACAAGTCGTATATAATTTAGATTGACAAAACGTTTGGATGGGTGGCTCTGCCCCAAGTCCACAACCAGACAAGGAACATGAGATAGGGCGGAATCACACATCCTAAATCTTGTTGAGTCTAATTTATATACCACTCTTGCATATACACTTAGCAGCGATAGATTAACGTAATGAGTTCTTAGTCTCTATTCTTGAACTTGAGCTGCGGTTCAAGTGATCTTCCTATGAGATCTATTGGGTATACTTCAGTGGTTACTGACTTCTGAGACTTCTTTGGTGCGTTTCGCTTCAAGTTTTCTATCTACTGGGCTGGCTAGAAGGTGTGGTACCCCTCGCATGGGTACTTCAGAAGTTTTGAAGTG